TTTTTCATTAGCTTTTTGCAACAACCGGTGAGTCAACGATGTAAAATGTCGTGTAAAATTAAGCCTCTTATTAAATCGTGATCCACATCTCCCTGATCATTTCGGTTCAAAAAGGCAGCTTCAATGTTTTCTTCCATCTTAGCCACTTTTTGTTTAATAACAGTACAAACTGAAACTAGCTTTGAAACTTCCAAACAAAACGGGATAAGAAAATAATAAAGTGAGGTTTATTTTATTAGGAGTGCAACAAACGCGGTATCAAAAACTAAAAAACGCACTTAACGTTATATACCTGAACACCTAATTTTTTTAACACTGCGCATGAGCACTATACCGTTTAGCGTTTAAGGCCAACGTAATTTTAAGGGGTCTAAAAACTCTCTATTGAAATCTTGCATTTGCGGGTTCCCATGAGCCTGGATTTTACTAATATTTTTGGAAACTTATTTCAGTTTGCACCATTCATTAGCCGCATTCTGATAGAGTATCGGTAACCTGTTTGTGTATTTCTAAAATAATTTTCTTGGAATATGTTTAGTGTTTCTGTTTTGTTCATTTTTTCGAATGGAAATTGTTTATTAGGTATTGTGCTAAAGACGAAAAACATTTTTTTGGGGAATTTACTTTTTGCTTTAGATGATAATTTTGCAAAATGCAATTTATGCAAAGCGAAATTATCTTGCAAAACAAGTGCGTCGAATTTGAAACGGCACATGGAATGCAACATCCCACAATATCAGTAAATTCTGAAAATTTTCGCGAAGAGTAGYGAAGTTTGTACCTATTTTCACTCMRAYAACGTTTTTTTTTTAGATTAAAMATTAAAATCAAATATAGCTTGTTCGCAAAGAATTAATARCTACATACGCTATTYGTTCTRTGTAAAACAATAGTTTTTTGTTCCTATTTTAATTTTTCTCCCCTAATGTTTTAAGAACTTTTAGAGTACATGGGTTTACAAAATGTGTAACCAGTTGCTAGTTGCAGACGCTGTTATTTTTTAGTGTCCTTAAAATRATTTCTACTTTAACTRTAAAATAGTATTGTTGYATACCTAAAWAACGTTATTTATTTAAAAAAAATATGAGCTACAAGTGTTTTAAGGATGTTTCTGCAAGTGACGCACAATTGCCCATCACCTTATGACGCTGCTATATCACGAAAACGGCAACCAAAAGCGAAATCACATTCACAGGTTAAATTCACAGTTAAAAAGATTTACATTCACAGTTATAACAGTGATTTTAAAATCACGCTTTAGCTCATCTCTACTGCATATAGTGAAACCCCGTCACTACAGCAAACATTTCGGAACAATACTATCTTGTTCGAATTACTTCAAATTCTTCGAGCCGATATAGAAATACCACACTAATGACCATTAAATAGCGTGTAGTTGATCCCTCTTGAACTCTCACACCCAACAGTTAAGAGACGCAGAACAAAAATAATCCCTAATTAATTATAATAATACCATTATACTAACTAAAGTCAACATCAATCAATCATCGACCAAACATCAATTAAATTAATTTTTTTATTCGATTACGTACATACATTTAACTTTTGAACCGTCTTCTCCTGATCGCACCCATCCACAGACCGTGGGTGGAAGGAGACGATCATAATCGTTTGGCACGGCTGTAGCCGTTTAAGTAACCACAGGTCAAGAGTGGAACATTGCCCAATTAGCACCAATAGCTATAAGATCAAAGTTAAAATCGAAATTGTTCTTTGAGGAGTTGTTGTTTCAAGCCTTGAAAATGTGCCGATTAATTAAAGCCTCACATTTAAAAATACTTTTAGATTATCCGGTCTCTCGCCCTTCATGGGCGATACGGACTCGGAAACGTTCGCAAACATCACAAGATCGGACTACGACTTCGAAGACGAAGCGTTCAACACGGTGTCACAAGACGCCAGAGATTTTATTGGAGCACTTCTGCTCAAAAGGAAAGAGTAAGCGAAGCTGGCTAAAGCTTAAAGGGCAATTGCAAAAATATGTTTTTACTGTTGCAGAGATAGACTGTCAGCAGACCAATGTCTCAGGCACGTTTGGCTGGATCCGGATAATCACCAAGAGACAGTTGTTCTATCCACGGACAAACTGAAGAAGTTCATCATACGTCGGAAGTGGCAGGTGTGTATAGTAAATGGAAAACAACGGCGTGAGCATGCATTTTTGTGGTTTTACTTGTCTTTTTTCTTGGCTTGTTAACTTAGAAAACCGGCAATGCTATACGCGCTTTAGGCAGAATGACCAATTTGTCTAATAGCCGACGGAACAGTGCAAACTCCAATCCGAATACCCCACGAACGTCCATCTCCGGCAGCCTGGTACCGAGAATGGGCAGCTTGGAAGAAGAAAAGATGAATGGGAAAGTGGAAAATCTGTTCACCACCAGCATTGTTACGGAATCTTTCGATGAAAACGACGAAACTGCAGAGGAATCGCCGGAGGCATCCAAACCACCCGATAATGGCGATTTTGAAAGCTACAACAGCCATGAAAACAGTACCTTAAACTCCCCGACAACTACTGAGGAACTAGACGTGCCACTCGTTGCTTCTTCAGATATCACGGATAACGTTCCCGAAGAAGTGGTTGACATTGTCGACCCACACGAACTATCAGAAGATGTGCTTACCCAACTACCCAAAGACCTTACTGGTGAGCAGAACTTCAAAGCCAAAAAGGAGGTACGAACTAGAGCCTGCAGCGAACGGAGCGACAGTGGCATAAGCGACTGTTCCACTTACACCCACTTGACTTCGAGCAGCTGCAATTCGACTCCTTTGTTGGGCAAAAAGTTCCCCATCAATGAGGAGGGCGAGTACAAGTTCAAAGCGCACAGCGATGAAACCAGCTATGTGTCTTCGACGAGCATCAATCTAACAAGCAATATGTTGCACAAAGAGAATCTGAGGGGTAGCTCGGAAGAAAGCGACGTGAGCAAAAGCAGTTCCCAGGATTCTGAGTTGAGACCGGCGAGGACCAGGAGGTTTGCAGGCCGATTAGGCAGTAAAATTGAGTGTTTTCAAGCTAACGCTGTTAACAAGAGTGAGTTTGATGCATTAAGTACTTGCTTTTGATAAGTGCACGTCATAGACCTGGGTAACACTGTGTCGTGTGACACTTCTGGTGATACCGCTCTGTGTCTATGTGCTCCAACACCGCGCGTCTTACGACGCGACACCTTGAACAACACTTCACATTTAATCTCATTCAAGTGGCAGACTACGGCAAAATTAGTTCGTGCTCAAAATACTTATCTACTGATGAAAAATGTCCGTTCTGTTAATTCCCGAAATTTCGGATCGCAAATTCTGAAAAGAATACAGTGTTGGCACAAATTGAAGCACTGACAATGTTGCCTGCTTACACATGTTACAAAATATTTTTTTCAGCTCGAAATAATCACAAATTAAAACCACATTGCTGATTGTCAATTTTAATGTTTGCATTCGCTTTGTCCATAAAATTTGTCTGTCTAAAAAAAAGACGTGAACGCGTTGCACCGCTTAACGCAACTACGAGCGAACTTTCGAACCACCACACATCACCCAACACAGTGCCCTCTGTTGTCGACCGACACATAAAAAGTGTTGCGCACTGTATCGACGCAGCAAGCCGTATCGGTATCGCCGTGTTAACACCTGAAGAGCCACTGTGTTACCCAGGCCTGGTACATGGTGAGCGGAAACCTGTGGCTCAACTACAAGGAAAGAAAAACAAGTTAAATCCAACAAAATTGGATTAGGTATGGTCCTTTTTGAACGCATATTTTTAACTAAATGTATGTATATTTTTCTCGTAATTCGCGTATTTTTAATTTTTTTAATTTGAAATAATCACGTCATTGACTTATCGACTTTTTTACCCAGAAACATGCCCTTTTTCTTGATCCCCTGATGGAAAGTACGCACTTGCGCCACTGTTTTCGATGGCGGAAGCATCACTTTTACCCATTACAAATTTTCTACTTCCGTGTGAAAAGTAATAACTTTCACCACGCACGCTGACAGCTTGACTTTGTCACTCCCTGTCAGTTGTCAGTTTTTTTTCAAAACCATCTAGTCTTCAACGACGATCAAGAAAAATAGTATACGGTACGCGATACGAAAGTCGAAGGTCCGCCACTGCGTGTATGACGCCCTCGACTTCGCCTCGGGCGTTAATTTCAAACAGTGGCGGAAAAAAAACTTCAAGCAGTCTCTTGTACTGTGTAAATGCTCATTTGGGGCTCAAAATGTGGGATTCCAAGGCGGCTGTTGTCTTTGTTAAAGCCTTCTTTCACTGCCTACGTGGCCAGATCGAAATGCCCACGCATTGTGGTAATCTCTAGGTTTTCATTAAATTCCAGAAAAAAATTGAAAGAGATACGCTACAGTTCAGTTCTTTAGTGCTCCCCCAATGAATGTGTTTTCAATATCAATCGTTATTTTATCAACAATTAATATACTTTGAGAATTATTCCTTTGCTTCCAATTTGTTTAAAATTAGTCTTGCAGATATTCTTAATTTATATTATTTTCTTTCCTGGGCCCCAGTCACAGTGTGAAATGAAATTTTCTTGTATATCGCTTATTTAGTTACGTTTCGAAAGACAACAGCGCCATCATCAGACTTTAAAATTCATTCAAACTCATAATTGGCAAACATTATATTCATTTAGGTCTTTGCTGTCTTGAAACCTTCAATTTTTTCAAATTTCATCAAATTTAAAAAAAAATTGAAGGGTTTAAGACAGCAAAGACCTAAAATAGAAATTTATAAAAAATATATAAAAAATGAATATAATGTTTGCCAATTGTGAGTTTGAATGAATTTTAAAGTCTGATCATGGCGCTGTTGTCTCGCCGAAACGTAACGAAATAAGCGACATACAAAAAAAATTGCTTCACACTATGACTGGAGTCCAGGAAAGAAAATAATATAATAACAATTACACGCAGTCAGGAAAAGAAATCAAGATATTTTTAAAGGTGTCTAAACTGTTTAATGTATTGTATAATAAGCTGATTTATCATTTATTTATTTCTCAATGCACTTTTACAACAAACCGACCGCTTCAAAAGAATGGTCAAACAAAAGATAAGAAAAGCAGTAAAATTGTGTAAATGCCGCAATTCAAATATATTTTTTGGTCCGTTAATAAACGTCTCAGTAGTGCACTTTCTGCGCCGAATAAAGGCAAGGAACCAAAAAACGCAGAAGAAAAGTCGCAAATTCTTCACTGTCTTGCTCGCGTTGTGGCTTGATTGTGCATCATTCTAAAGTCTTAATTGTATCTGTATGTCTCCTTATTATTTTCCTCATTTCCTTCTTTGTGGGCGCAAGTTCTTTGTTCAATTCTTTCGACACAGACCTTACATTTTGATATGTTCAAAAAATCATTCCAAATAACTCTTGCACACAAAAAAGTTTTCATCTTTCTCACTTGAAAAATATAATAAACTTGTGCAACAAATATTATGAATGAATTACAACAATCACGATTTAAACAAACCTCACAAGTTACTTTTAGCGATTAAATAGCAACGTTCCATCTCGCAATCGTTAAACATTAATAGTAATTTAATATAAAAAAATGTTACTGCTTTTATCATTGTAGGGAAGCACTAGAATAATACTTCTTCAATATCTTCTTTATTACTCTCGTTCAAACACGCAACAATCTCCCAAAACGTTCTCCAAAAAAAGTATAGTGGGACCAAATCTGGTGATGTAGGCGTCCACTGTATCCGTTCATTTATACCCATCCAAATGCTTTAATAGGTTTCAAATGTCCAAAAATAGTTGAACTATTTATTCTTAAGTTATGTATCAGGTGCAGCTCCGTCAGGCGAGAAATATGTTTGCGGGTAGTTGTAAAATCTGATTTCAAGCTAACTTCTCACCTACGCAATTCGTTGCTGCAAGGAACTAATACGAATTTTTTGCCGCAACTCTCGAGTTAGATTTATTGCGCAACTTTGTCGATCAAAGTAGTGCAATTTTGCAACTCAACAACATAAAATTGTGCCCTCAGCAGACAAAAACGAAAATAGTAATATCAGAGTGCCTTCAAGTAGTCGACTACCGGGCTTCAATGCCATTTGGAAAACAATAAACATCGGATTATGAAGAGATTGTACATCCATCTGTCGATATCACCTCTCATAGTTTTCAAAACATGGGCCTTACGCGAGTTGCACATGAAGAATTGCATTAAAATAGAGTGCGTATTGCGTGCAATTCCTTGCACAATACAAAATTGCTTGCAAAACTGTCTAGCCGCCTAGTGTGAACCAATTGCATGCAATTTAGGCCCGGACAACGCAGTGAATTTTGAGGAGTTGGCGCAGTGTTACGCCAACCCAACACACCCGCGCAGTAACTCAGTAAAAGTAAAGTAAAAAAGACAAAGTTACTTATAAAAAATTTGATAACCTTTTGTCGTTTGCACAAAGTGATCAAACGTTACTCATTAAAAATATTTATGACCGTTTTCAGATGTTCAAATTCCAATTGAATAAATGAGTTTTAACTCAGAGAGCGACATCAACGCAAAAGCCCAACTCAACACAGTGTTACCCAGATCTAACGCAATTCGACAGTTGCTGCAATAAATTGGTTAAGAAAAAACCCAGCTTTAGCACAGGAAAGTGGTCTGGAATAAATTCCAAATATCGCACTGTTCTTCCATAGTTCCAATTAACAGTTACGACATTAAAAGAACGACAACCCAATTCTCAATTATTAATTTAATTTCTTCTCAAGTGCAACTGTTGAATTAGTAAAAATTGCAAACTTCTCGAAACACTTCGTTTGAGGGTTTGCGGAAATAGAGGTATGTTTCTGGGCAAAAATCTTATTTCCAGTTTCCAAACATGAGTAGTCGGCTTGAAATTGATCCTACTCAGTCTCATTTAAGAACTTTTGCGCAAAATTTCACTTTTCTCATAACAGAGCTAAACCATCGTGTTTCCCTCACCTGTACTGCAATTCACTTCAATTTTCCAGTTCCAAAACGATAAAAATCGGAACAAAAGGTGCTGGAAACCAGTACCAACCGATACAGTACTAATAAAAAATGTTTTTTTCGCTTCGCAGGTAAACCGCCGCCCTCTCAGGCAGAGAGCTTAAAGCGCCTACCCAACTACTCACTACGCAGCGTCCAAGACACCATCAAGAAATTCGACCACACCAATCCTGCACCCATCAAAGCTCCACTAAACCCCGAAAACACGCGATCTTCCAACATTTTATCAGCAAGCATTCGCAAAAACTCGTTCTGTGATCCAACAAAACTAAACCCTTCATCGCCCATCTTAACCAGGAAGACCATCACTCATGAAACCAGCAATCGATTGGTTGTTTGTAAAGGCGAGACTGATCCCCCAAAAATAACTGTGCACAGGTCACACAGTGCAGCGAGCGAAGTGGGCAGATATCGAGCGACAAAAATCGACAAGCTGGTGCAAAAACTGGAGAAGAATGGCCATAGGAAAGTGTCCGAAGATGGTGAAGGGGTGCTGAATACAGCGAATCCCACTGTGAGGTTTAGGAGTCCGTCCCCAAGCCTGTTGAGGAAAACGCAAGCAGTGATTAATAAGGAGAAATGCAACGAAAGGTATAGAGCGCAGAACAATTTGGATTCGCCAAGGAACAGAACACCTCGATCGCCTACATTGAAACTCCGAGGCAACAACGAGTGTTTTCAAAAAGTGTCTGCCTTCTGGAACAATCCAAACACCTAAATTCACTCCAGTGGTCTTAATTGGACGTTAATTACCTACTTCACCTAAATATGGAACGTATTATATTATTGCCGATTTTTGTTATTTCTCTTGTTGTTGTTCGACTTTGTGAACATGTATTATTCAAGACCGTTATTTTTGTGTTATCCTTATTGTTAATATTTTGTTATTTTCAACTGTGCAAAGGTGTATCCTCCTAAGATGTATTTTTGCGACTACTTATATAGAAATCTATGTTAATAGAGCATTATTTTATTAACAGTTGTATTATTATTCAGCAAGAGTTAGAATTTCTGAGGTTTATAAGAAGTGAGTTAGTTACATTTGGAAAGTGTCACTCGTTAACTCCCGCTTTAAAATCTATTCTGTCAATAAATCCGCCTTATTTCAGGCCTAAGGCCCCGACTCTACCATCTACGATTAGAACAATGATCGTCGATTAATTACTAAGGCAACGACTTATGTGCCACCATAATTTTAATCATCGGTAAGGATATTTAAGCTATGGTTAACGTAACCGCTAAAACGTGGCTAATTAGTCACGACAGTCACTGAATAATTGGAAAATATAACTTCAAATAATTAGGCATGAACATTTAAATTGTGAAGCCATACTATGCAATTTTTCCCTAGTTCTAGGGATTTTTCTCAAGCGAAAAGTAAAAGGGATTTGTTATAATTATCTAAGGAGTTTAAAAAGTTTTCGTTCATCTTCAAAAAAAATAAATTCGTGGAAGAAAATATTAATATATCGCCCTACAGAAGGCTGCCAACTAGAGTTAAATTAAAGATTGAATAAACAAGAAGAATACAAATACAGTTGTCCGGATATAACGAACTTGAAAAATGAACTAAAACTGGTTCGTTATATCCGGAGTTCGCTATAAGCGAATAATAATATAAAAACACGTGGTGTATTTTATTTCGTTATTTTTACATAGAGTAGTAGAAGTTAGTACTTAGTTAGGTATGACTAAAAAGAACACAAAAAGATAAACAAAATTCAATTTGAAATCTACTTCATAAAGTCTGTAATTTTTGTTTGTACATTTCTGCTGCAAAAATAGATGTTATTTATGTAGTTTTCAAGATCACAAAAGAACTCCCAGATATGATTAGGAACTTGGCGTGGTTGCATAAAATTCTGAGTTTCTGACACTTTTTTTGTCATTTCAGAAATGGTTGGAACAGCATTAGTGTCTACAGTAGAATATGTTTCACCTAAATCGTCATCTTTCTCATTATCGCTTAAAGCTGTAGAAGAGGTTACGCAGTCTATAATTTACTCATCGGTCAACATTTCTCTTATAAGAATGTCATTATCAAGAAATTCAAATCACTCCATTTGCTTTTAACTTGTTTTTCGACAACATTGGGACATCTTCGTCTGTGTCATACTCGTAGTCAGAGTCTTTATCCTTTTCTAACCATTCGTTAAGTGAAACTTCATCGTCTGGTTCATAATCATTTTCTTTTCTTACAAATCCCCCATGCTTAAAGCAATTTGCAATAGTTTTTCGGCTAACTTTTTGCCAAGCTCTATGAATAAAATTGACTGCATCTAAGAGATTTATAGAAAATGTTTCATTTTTATCGATCGTCTCTAACGTTTTCATAAGAAGAATTTTTCACCGGCAGACTCTCCAACAATTTTTCCGCTACTGATATTATGCCTCTTCTTGAAACGCTCTTCCTAACTTTTAGAACAAGCAAACTCTTTGTTTTTGATTTTACTCCCCATTTCACTAGCATTTTCTTGCAAAACACT